CTAAGTAACAGTATCACACAGAGTGACCCAGCGAGGAGTCATACTGATCGCTAACTCCTGTGAACCCGCTTTCCCATCTCAAAATGGATTCTGGCTAAGTTTCTTTCTTGATTCCTCTTCTGTATCATTGTTCTTTTTCTTAAAAAAAATTATTGGGTCCTTTTATTGATTTTAGATAGAGAAGAAGGCATAGAGAGAGAATCACACACACCAATGTGAGAAACATCTATCTGTTGCCTTCCATATGCGCCCCAACTGGGGATCAAATCTGGAACCTAGGTATGTGCCCTGACTGGGAATCAAACCTGGTGTTTTGGTTTATGGCATAACACTCCAACCAATGAACCGCCTGACCAGGGCTGATTGTTGTTCTGGTTCACTTTCCTCACTATCTTGTTCCCAGTATTAAACTCCGTAGGCACGTTCTCTCTCGGTCGCCATCATTCTCTGATTGATTTCAGTTGTGATTTATCTTCTTTTTCCTGTTCTCTTTCTCCTCCCTCTCATTCTTTTCTGTTAACACTCTGGAGTAAACAGAAGTTACACCTACAAAACTACTGGCCCCGTCTAGTGGACTCGAAACATAGAATTAACTATACTCGTGGTAGATAGAAAATCAGGAGGATGGAATAGTTGATCTTTATTTTTTAATTTTTTAATTGCATATTTTTCCATTACCTTTTATCCTCCTTATACCCCCCTGCCTCACCCCATGGAGTGATTGATCTTGAAGTTGATTCTGGTCCGTAACACTAAGTCTCATCATATGTTCTAGAGTACTTGTGTTTATATTCATCCTCTAGCTGTTTCTGACTCTTTCTTGTCTTTATTCTGATTTTCTTTTTCCTCTTTCTCTTCACTTTCTTCTTCTCTAGTTCAGGTAGAATGACTCCTACATCGTGTTGTAATGTATTTTGTTTCTTTGTGTGGTCTACCCACATTGGTAGCATTTAAGTATGACTGGGGCAGGAATATTTAGCTGTAGTACGAAGGGTCTAAAGTGGCCACCAGTGATCCTTAACTCTTGGTATTCATGGCCTTTGCAATAAGCTCCATATGAGTAAGTAGTTTCTAACCTATGGAAAATGACAACACCGTGGGACTGTCACTTCTGTGATTAGGTTGTAAAAGACTGTGCCTTCTACTTTGCTTACAGACTCTTTCCTTGGCTCATTAAATGAGTTGCAAGTCTGAGAGTCCTGCATGGAAAGGTGCTGTGGGTGGCTCTGTCCGGCAGCCAGCAGCACCCTGAGTGCTCTCAGGCCAGCCGTCCTTGAAGCGCTGAATTCTGCCACCAGTCGAGCTTGGAACTGAACCTCTTTCCAGTTGAGCCTTCGGTGAAACCCAGGCCTGGGCCAGTACCTTGACAGCACATTTGTAGGGGCCCCTGAATTCAGCAGAGGACCCAGATAATTCACGCGCCAGTTCCTGACCCACAGAAACTGATACAATAAATGTATGTTGTTTTAAAGCCACTAAAGTTTGGGGTGAGTGGCTACATTTCGATATATAGACAATTAATAACATCCTTTATATGTAATATTTTATTTGATGGTTTATTCTTCCATTCTTTGCTTTTTATTTTTAAGGTCAACATATATATATAAAATTGACCTTCGTTATTCACGGATTCTATATCTGTAAAGTTATCTACTTGCTGAAATTTGTTGCCCCCCCAAATCAATACTCACAATGCTTTTGCAGTCATTAGCAGACGTGCCCAGAGCAGTGAAATATTTCGGTTGCCCCATGCACACATTTCTAGCTGAGACTGAACAAGGGGGTGGTCTCCCTTTATTCCAGCTCTCAGGCCGAGGTGACCAGAGGATGGAGACAGCACGGGCGGTGCAGTGTGGTATAAGAGACCCCAGCTCTGGGGACAGCAGATGGAGTGGGACTCCAGCTCTGCCACCAGGTAGTAGAGTGACCTCAGGTAAGTCACTTATGCTTGTGAACCCCATCTTCTTTTCTGTAAAATAAAGACAATAGACTCTATCAGGATGGGTTGATTTAAAGAGTATAATCTTAATTATACAAAGTTGTAAAATTCAGGAAGTTGTAATTTAAGATTATAATCTATGTGATATATTATGTACATATACATGTATGTGTATGTGTGTATACATACATGTATATGTATTTTCACATTTCCCTCAGGGGTGTGGTTCAGTATTTACTAATTCTGTGTTTGCAGCAACTTTATAGACTATAACTATCATGAATAATGAGAATTTACTGTATATATTCATTCATTTTCATATTTCAAAAAACTAAATGGTAATAAACTATTTTCTTTTTCTCACTTTGTTTCTTTGCACATAATATTGTATCCTGAAGTTCACTCTCTGTAGTATATAGAGTTCTTTCTGTCTCTTTCTTACAGCAAAATAGTACTGCTTTACTGTTTTGTGTGTATACCATAATTTATACAACCAGACCCCTGTCAGTAGATGTTTGGGTTGACTGCTATCTTTTGGTATTAAAAGTAGTACTGCAATTGATAACCTTTGATTATATATATTTTTGACATATCTTTAGCTATATTCCTGGAAGCGGGATTTCTGAATCAAAGGGTTAAAGCTTTAAGGCATAGTTTTAGAGATACATGCATATGTTCTCTGATAACCCTCTTAAGAGGTGCAGCTCAATTCCATTCACTTTTAGCAAACAATACAGAAGAAGTAATGAATCACCACTGTTATAAATTCCAATTTCGGTTATAAAAATGCTGCGGCTTCTGTCTTGTGTGTGCCCCCTCTCTCTCCCTTCCTTGACTACACGGCCTTGGTAGAAGCCAGCTACCACATCAGCAGGTGGGCTTGAGGAGGACCAATGCCACTACCCTGTCAAGAGCATAATCAGATGGCCTGAGGAAAGGCCCCCACGGTGAGGAACTGAGCTTGGAAGCTGATATTCTGAGGCTTGTCATCAGCCCCTGTTTTCGGTTTGGAAGCATCTACTCCAACTGAGTCCTGAAATAGCTGCAGCGACAGCTGACAGCATGACTGAAGCTCATCGGAAACTCCCCCTGAACTATCCCGTCTAAGCTGTTCCAGACTCGACTCAGAAACCATGAGACATTAAATGTTTATAGTTTCAAAGAGCTAAGTTCCAGCAATCCACTGTACAGCAATAACTAGCATTAATACATGTAGTTTTGCTAGCTGTTGCCAATCCCTCTATAGAGGGGCTACACCATTTCTGTGTCCTACCAGTAACACAGGAGAATTCCTGATTTCTGTTTCCAAGTTTTCTTTATAGGCTAATAAATGAGAAACAGTATCTTATTGTGGCTTTATTTTTTATTTCATCATGAGGGACTTCTCCTTCTACTTAGTTTTTAATGAGATACTACAAGAGGATAGCTTCTCATCACTCTCAGGATTAAGAGCTAAAGTTTCACAATTCCTACCAGGCCCTCTATGGTTCGACTACTTTCCATATCTGTATTTTCCGCTGGCATTCCTCCTCGAGAGTCTGACTGAATTATTACTGTACCCTTAGTGCCTAACACAGTGGCCGTACCTACTATCTTAGCACAGGGCACGCAATAAACATTGACATATCCAGAAGTTTACATTGAAGTGAATGATCACAACTGCCCACTTCTTACCCTCTTCTTTGTCTTGACCAAACATTAGTCAGGCCTGGTTCCTCCCACAGGTCCCTAAACTATGCCTTGCCCCCAAGTTTAAACACACCCTAAAGGAACAGTATGTGTGAACAGCCTCCCTCTACAGCTTAGTCTCAGAACCTGGGGACTCTGGAAACATTTCTTGTCAATGTGCCCTGGTTTTGCCACTTGCACACCCCCACCTCTTAAAAGTCCCTGCCGGCCCTCCTTGACCCTCTCTATAAAAAGCCTTTTCCTGTTTGATTTGGAGATGCTTGCAGATTTCTGAGGTGGGTATTGCAGTAATTTTTTTAAATAAAACTTCTTATCTACTAAGTCTAGATTTGTTTTTGACATGAGAAGTAAAACTGCTAAATATAAAACTGCTGTTCATTTAATTACATAAGCCCCGAATCGCGGCTCCTGGGAAAACTGGCGATACAAACTTGTACCTATGCACATGAAACTCCAGTTTAACATGCATTTTTCTGAAGTATAAAAGCTTGATGTAAAGCCTCAAGGTTATGATAACAACGTTGTCTTATTGGTTCATTATTTTTTAATCAAGTAATTTTTTTCACCCTGAAATCTAACCTCATCACCTGTTTTTCCCCTTTTATTTTTTTACTCCCCCCTTTCCCTGTCTCAGTCTCCCCCTCTGTCTGGGCCTCCTGGGTTGCCTCTTAGCTTCCCACTTCTGTTCCTGGGCCTCCCATTTGTGCCCTTCTGTTCCCATCTCTCTTGCTTGTCCTTTGCCCCTGTTATCCCTGCTTTCTCCTGGTGTCTGATTCTCCATTTTGCAGCCCTCTTTCTGTCTTCTTTTCCTTATCTCTCAGTTATCCTTTTTCCTTAGTCGGCCTCTGCTACTTACTACTGCAGTAGGAATTTTCCCTAGAGTATTCCTTATCATTTTTAGCATAAAGTTCATTATTACTGTGTCTTCCCCGCCCTGCCACCCCAACTCCTCCATCACTTTGACCTCGTTCCCACAGTGGAATCATCCCCCCTAGGGGACTCTACCATTCTGCCTTTCCACCCCTTTCAGCAAGTAGAACCTCCCGCTATAGGCCTGTACCACTTACAAACATGTAAAATAGAGTCAATGAGAATATTTTACTATTCCAACGTCTTTCTTTCTCTTTCAACAAATGCAGTCTTCTAATACAGGGCATAGCACTCAAAGTTCTTCCCAGTGCTTTTGTAAAGTCTCTCTACAAAGCTTGTCCTTATTGGTTGGTACAATCCTCCTTTCCAACTTCTCTCCCTTCTCCCTTCCTGTCGCCAGCCGATGGTGCAGCCCAACCACAGGCTCCCAGTAAAAAGATTCCTGCCTGTACGGAACTACACGGGCACTCAATATGGCGGCTCCCATTTATAAACAGTGCGTGGCGGCGGCCACACTGCCTCCTGAACAAAGCCGCCGAAGAAGCGGAGTAGTCGGAACCACCCAGCAGGAATCAGCGCAAGCTCAGAAGCCCCGCGCTCTGCTCTCCCGGACAGGGAGCGCAAGAGTTCACTACTATGGATATGACAGCTGTCCCCAGTTAAGCTTTGACCAGCGTTTCGGGACCCGATAACGGAACCGCAGGTCAGAAGGCTGTCATTTGTGCGGTGAGTGTCTTGGATCGGCAGTGGGAAGGGAGCGGTCTGTAGAGGTCAGTGACTGGAGGTTTAAGAAGTCATGGTGGAGAAGGAATGTGGGATTGGTGCTGGGTTCATTTGGGGAGGCAGGGATGGTGTGAGAGTAGTAATTGGGGAGTGATGTGCCAGTGTTGGGGTTGTCTGTACGGTCAGAAATGGCACCTAGGGGAACACGCTGATAGGGATGACTAGGGTCGGTGATGGGTGCGGGGGCTGAGGTCGAAATGATGGGGGGGGCATCCACGTGGTGGTCATTGATGTGATGGGCATAGGCGAGTTCTGTCGGGTGTGGGGTCCACAGGCCCGAGGATTCAGCGACTTGGAGGGAGCAGTCATCATTATGATGAGCTCCAATTTATTGGGAAAGGTTTTTACACACATTAAAACTTTCATTGGTCATAGGCAACTGTTGGGTTTTTAAAGGTCAACCTCCCTTTGGAGCCATTATTATGCCCTTAATCTGGTACTCCTTAATGAAGTGAAGTACCAGAAATGACTATTTTAAAATAACACCAAACCAAAACGATAGGATTATTATGAAAAGTGTGATTTTTAGTCTTACCTCTTTCTAAGCTTATTGAAATCATTTTATATTTCATTCAAGAAACATTTATTGAGCACCTGCTGGGCGCCCGGAGATTAGTATGATTATATTTTCGGATTGTGTCCTTCCAGATCTGTCTTGATAAGGTCTTTCTGTCATGGGAACACTCACTTCCTCTGAACCAGTTCAGTCCTGTCTGCATGACTCCAGGGACTGAGAAAAATTTACCAAGTATGTACCTTCCTCCACTGACACAAGAAACATTTAAACAGAAAACATCTCAAAATTAACATTTAGGTCTATGAATGTGGATTATCAGGAGAGTTTACTGTGTTGAGGGAAAATATAATAGAGGATGGGAATTCAGCTGCTGGTTTTTCCTGAGGAATAAAGGAATACATTTCTTAGTTTTCCATTTGGTCATTGCCATTCTAATTGCCAGGGAACTCCATCTACAGTTTGCAGATCTATACATGTGTATGGCCTTGTGACAGCTGTTTACAAATATAATGGCTGGTTCAAAGGGGGAAAGTAAGTTGTTAGTAAAACATGTAACATCTTTACATCCATACAATTCAAAAACCTTGCATGAGCTCTGTATGCCCATAGTATAGTCACAAGAGGACTTCCTGTGCATGTGCTTGCTGACTGGTCTGTAAGGGCCAAGCAGCCATCTCCCCAGGTTGGCCTGTCATCCCCCCCAACCCGCACCCCCCCACTTTTGGTGGGTGTGGTTTCTAGACTAGTGGGTGTGGTTTCTAGACGGGTGGATGTGGAAGCTGCAGTCTGTGTCTAGTCCATGAAAACGTCTTTCCAATCACTGATTTTGCTTTGTCAGGCATCTGTCCTTTGAGAAGACAGCAGAAAACGATGAAATCCCAGGTGAGTTGCTTTTGTTTTTAATTTTTTAAATTGCCTCCCTGGTTTTCCATACAATCAAATGGAAAAGTAAAAAGAGCTAAAATTTGGATTAGGGAAAAGGTACAATAGCCAAAATAAAGATCAGGACCTAGAAAGAGTTGCTAGGTTACAATGTAGATAACCTGGCCTGAGCCATTTTAAAAAATTGAGGTACCAATTTTTCTGATCTTTCTTGCAGATGTCAGTTACATGATTTGCAATCCTCTAAAGAGAAAGCAGATACATTTCCCATGGGAAGAGATCATTTCTAGCCATATATGGCTAAAACTGCCTGTAGTAGGTCTTTGTTTAGATGATGGCGTACAGTGTTCTCACCAACATTCATTCCTGTGGTAAATGGGGTAGTAGATTTCTTGTAGCTGTATCATAAAATGCTCTTTTCTAGAGGGAAGGGATCAGTGTCAGAGCCAAACTCCTTGAGCTTTCTCTTTTTGAGCTAGGGGCATCAAACTGTTGCCTGTGGGCCAAACCCAGCGCTTTATAAGCAACTTTTATTTGGCAGCACAGTCATGCCTTTTGTTTGCGTATTGTCTGGGTCTGTTTTTACGCCCCAGTGGCTGGGTTGGGTAAGTACAATAGGGACCACATGACCTGCAATGATGAAAACATATGCTTTACTGAAAAATTTGTTGACCTCTGCTTTAGAGGACCAGATTGATTGCAGAGGCTTCTGTTGTCTGCTTCATCCACTGGTAAAATCTAGAGAACATAGGATGCGTACATTTTAAATAGTCTTCCAAAAAATATATTTCTCTCAAAAAGCAGTTCTTAAGTTATAATTATCTGTCAAAAGTCCAGAGAGCCAGGACCCCCATGCTTCTCGTCCTGGCCATGGTTTTGTAGGATTGCTGTTCAACTCCAGGCTGGTTCCTTCCCTGCTCCTCCTTTTTTTAACAGTCTGTATTACATTTTTCTCCTTGTCAACCTTTGCTATATACATGGTACAAAAATTCTAAACTATATAAAAAGATAAAAATTAAAAGCTAGGAGATCTTTAACCTTTAAACCACCCTCCTCCTGACATAGCAGCTTTAATCATCTGTTTTTAACCTTCCAAACCTTTTATGATATGCATATAACTGCAAGTGTGTATATGTGAAAGTACAAATATGTGAGTACATAAAAGTACTCTCGTACTTTTTTGGGAAAAATAATGTCACAGTAAACATTCTGTCTGGACTTCCGTCAAGATGGAGGCGTAGGTGGAAGCACTGCGCCTTCTCACACAACCAAGTTTATTTTATTTTATTTTTTAAAAATATTTTATTTATTTACTTTTAGAGAGAGGGGAAGGGAAGGAGAAAGAGTGGGAGAGAAACATCAATGTGTGGTTGCCTCTCGTGAGTCCCCTTGCTGGGAACTGGCCTGCAACCCAGGCATGTGCCCTGACTGGGAATCGAACCGCGATACTCTGGCACACAACCAAGTTTAAAAACAACAGTTTTAGCAACAAAAATGAAGCCAAACCACAGAAAATTGAACTACACGGAAGTCTGACAATAACGAACCCTTCAGCCAAACTGGTAAGAGGGGTAGAGCCAGCAGCAGAGTGGGGTCGGGCAGGAAAGATCCACCGGACTGAACCAGGCGCGCAACCCAGGCGCCGTAGGCAGATCCCAGGTGTGTAGTAGCGGGTGGACCCACTGAGGGTGCAAGGCGGTGGGCCCACTGAGGGGTGACCACAGTCACACATTCGTGTGCAGATAAACCGGTGAAGGAGCGAAGCAGTGAGACAGACCGTGCAGGCCCCAGTGGCAGAAAGTGGCAGAGGGGACCGCCATTGTCCCTCTCTGACCCCGCCCCCACATACAGCGTCACATACCAGCGACTTGGGTGGCCCTGCCCCGGTGAACACCTCCTCATACGTAACAGGCACAAACAGATAAAAACATGGCTCAAGAACAACTCAGAGCCCCAGAACCGACAAAAAAATAGCCAAATTTTCAGGTGCACAGTTGGAAACACTGGTGATCAGGATGCTCACAGAACTGGTTGATTTTAGTCACAAATTAGAGAAACATATGAAAGCTAAACTAATTGAAATGAATGGTAATGCACAGGAATAGTAATGGAAAGGAAACTGGGACTCAAATCAAAGGAGTGGACCAGAAAGAGGAAAAAAATGACTAAACAGAAAAGGATGAAGAAACAAGAATTCAAAAAAATGAGGAGAGGCTTAGGAACCTCCAGGACATCTTTAAACGTTCCAACATTTGAATTATAGGGGTACCAGAAGGGGAAGAGGAACAGCCACAAGTGGAACACTTATTTGAACAAATAATAAAGGAGAATTTCCCCAATCTGGCAAAGGAAATAGACTTCCAGGGAATCCAGGAAGTTCAAAAAGTCCCAAAGAAGTTGGACCCAAGAAGGAACACACCAAGGCACATCATAATTACATTAGCCAAGATTCAAATGAAGGAGAGAATCCTAGAAGCAGCAAGAGATAAGGGGATAGTCACCTACAAAGGAGTTCCCATCAGACTGTCAGCAGATTTCTCAAAAGAGACCTTACAGGCAAGAAGGGGCTGGAAAGAGGTATTCCAAGTCATGAAATCCAAAGACCTACATCCAAGATTGCTCTATTCAGCAAAGCTTTCATTTAGAATGGAAGGGCAGATAAAGTGCTTCTCAGATAAGACCAAATTCAAGGAGTTCATCATCATCAAGCCCCTATTATATGAAATGTTAAAGGGACTTACCTAAGAGAAAGAAGATAAAAAATATGAACAGTGAAAGGACTACAAACTCACAGTTACTAAGAACCACACCTAAAACAAAAACAAACTAAGAGGACAGCTAGATCAGGAGCAGAACCATAGAAATGAAGATCACATGGAGGGTTAGCAACAGGGGAGTGGGAGAAGGAGAAGCGTGGGAAGGTACAGAAAATAGGTAGCATAGACGGTAGGTAGAAAATAGATAGGGGGGAGGGCAAGAATAGTATGGAAAATAATAGAATCTAAAGAACTTGAGACACGTGGTCATAAACTAAAGGGGGAAATGGTGGGGGAGGGGTGTGCAGGGTGGAGGGGAATGAAGGGGGAAATAGAACTGTAATGGCATAATCAATAAAATATATTTAAAAAATAAATAAATAAATAAACATTCTGTCTGCAACATGATTTTTAACTCCATTGTCCAATGTAAAGATTTTTGTGTACCTTTTTTTAAGATTTTTTTTTTAAAATTTTTGGAGAGGGGAAGGAAGGGAGAAAGAGAGGGAGAGAAACATCTGTGTGTGGATGTCTCTTGAGTGCCCCCTACTGGGGACCTCTTCCACAACCCAGGCATGTTCCCTGACTGGGAATCGAACCAGCGACTCTTTGGTTCACAGGCTGGCACTCAATCCACTGAACCATACCAGCCAGGGCATGATTTTTGTGTACATTTTTAATAACTTCCCATGCCAGTACCTAGCATTCTCCTTTATTATTCAAGCAAATGTGTAATATTTCCTTGTGGCCTGGTTGACTGGGATTGTTTCCTTGTCTGTGAAATGGAGTATATAATCCTCATAGGATTGTTGTGAGAATTAAGTGGGGAAAAAAACAACCATGCCTAGAACTATGTAACTGGGGATGGTTTGTTCTGTATTTATGTGTTAGCTGTTGTTATTGTATCATCATTATAATTGTCAATCTTTCAGTCAGCTTTTGTATTAGAAGTCCTTATGTATATTTCATAGTAGAGTTTAATGACTGAGTTCTCTTGTGAAAAGATACATTTTTTTCCTTCTTGGATGTCATAACTTTAGAGCCATGTGTCCAACTCAGAGCCCTCAGCCACATGCAGTTATCGAGCACTTGAAATTGGCCTGTCTGAACTGAAATGTGCTTAAAGTATAAAGTACGTGCTGGATCTTGAAGATATAGTTTTAACTCTCTAGTAATTTAGAGACTGATTACATGTTTAAAATCACAGTTTGGATATATTGAGATAAATATATATTATTGAAAACCACTTTTTGAACTTGACTATTCTAAGTTTTGTACTCATTTTCCCCATTTTTTCCATTCTCCCAGTCATCTAAGTTGTAAAAATTATTTGTAGATGACAAAAGTACAATTTCTCAATGATTATGCATGTTTCCCAAAAGTAACAAGATTTATACATATTTAGTTAACTGAACCATTTAAGTATCAATAATAAAACAAAACCACAATGTTAGAATTATATCTACTCATATAAAGTTTTCTATCAGAATAGATTTCTTCTACATTCCATATTTCTTTTTCATGTTATTGTTCTTCAGATCAAAAGAATAAAATTGACTGATGCACAAAAGTATTTTTAACTTAAAATGAACCTTCTTTTAGTCTGTATAATCTTCACTCATTCCTCTGTAGCAAACATTTCTTGGGTACCCAATATATGTCGTATGCACTGGCTAGCTGTGGAGTATCTCAGGAACATTTAGGCATTGTTCTTTTCTGAGAGGAACGAGGGAGAACAGTGGGGTGAACAGTGTGGAAATCAACACTGACATATAGACACGAGACCAAGGAAAAACATAGAAGTCATAAAACATAGAAGTCTTGTTTACAGTATCAAGGAGACAGTGGTCAGGAACCCAAGCTATTGAATCAGAGCACTTGCTTTTAAATCTAAGTTCGAATCAACCATGTATTCACTGTGTAGCCTCTGGCAGGCAGTTCCGAAGCATTGTAATCCTCAGCTTTCTCAAAAGTAAAATAGGAACATTAATCGAGTTGCTAGGAGGATAAACTGAATGCTTGGCGGCTTGACGATCTGAATATGGGACTTGGTGCGAGATGAGTGAAACCATAAGATTGAAATGAGACTGTGTATTCAAGGATGGGTCCAGAGGAGGCTTTGTCGGCAGCAGACTCTTGATATTTGAAACAGTATTTAATTTGTTTTCATTCTGAAAGTAATATTTGTTAATGATGGAATATTTAAGAGAGAACCTGACAAATAGTTTAAAATAATACAGCTCAATATTGGAGACTTCCGCCAAGATGGAGGCGTAGGTGGAAACACCTTGCGTCCACGCACAACCAAATCTAAGAACAACAAATTTTTAACAACAATAAACATAACCAAACCACACAGAAAATCGACAATACGGAGTCCAAAAACAACGAAATGCTCAGCTAAACTGGTAAGAGGGGCGAAGCCAGCAGCGGAGCGGGTTGACCAAAAAGATCCCCGACCGGGTGGTGCGCAAGCAGCTGAAGGCATGGATCACAGGTGCGGGCTAGCTACCGGAGCACACAGGGAAGAGGCACGGCTGGCTGTCTGTGGTTGGCCGTGCATTTGCGTGCAGATAAACCAGTGAAGAGGTGAGCATTGAGACCGCATGGCACAGGGCAGCAGGCTCGCACAGTTCCACTCGGATAAACAGGCCGGGGCGAGTGGCGGGACGGACTGGGCAAGCGGAGAGGACCACCATTGCTCCCTCTCTGACCCCGCCCCCACATACAGCATCACAAACCAGCCACCTGGGTGGCCCCGCCCTGGTAAACAAGTAAGGCTCCACTCCTCATACTTAAAGGCACCAACAGACCAAAAATGGTTCAAGAACAACTCAGAGCCCCAGAGCCAATAAATCTAAGTGATGAGGAAATAGCCAAACTATCTGATGCACAGTTCAAAACACTGGTGATCAGGATCCTCACAGAACTGGTTGATTTTAGTCACAAATTAGAGAAACATATGAAAGCTAAACTAATTGAAATAAATGGTAATGCACAGGAAACCAAAAGTAATGGAAAGGAGACTGGGACTCAAATCAAGGGAGTAGACCAGAAGGAAGGAAAAAATGACCAAACAGAAAAGAATGAAGAAACAAGAATTCAAAAAAATGAGGAGAGGCTTAGGAACCTCCAGGACATCTTTAAACGTTCCAACATCCCAATTATAGGGGTACCAGAAGGGGAAGAGGAACAGCCACAAGTGGAACACTTATTTGAACAAATAATAAAGGAGAATTTCCCCAATCTGGCAAAGGAAATAGACTTCCAGGAAATCCAGGAAGCTCAGAGAGTCCCAAAGAAGTTGGACCCAAGAAGGAACACACCAAGGCACATCATAATTACATTAGCCAAGATTAAAATGAAGGAGAGAATCCTAGAAGCAGCAAGAGATAAGGGGATAGTCACCTACAAAGGAGTTCCCATCAGACTGTCAGCAGATTTCTCAAAAGAGACCTTTACAGGCAAGAAGGGGCTGGAAAGAGGTATTCCAAGTCATGAAAACCAAAGACCTACATCCAAGATTGCTCTATCCTGCAAAGCTGCTTTCATTTAGAATGGAAGGGCAGATAAAGTGCTTCTCAGATAAGATCAAATTCAAGGAGTTCATCATCACCAAGCCCTTATTATATGAAATGTTAAAGGGACTTACCTAAGAGAAAGAAGATAAAAAATATGAACAATGAAAGGACAGCAAACTCACAGTTATCAACAACCACACTTAAAACAAAAGCAAATTAAGAGGACAGCTAGATCAGGAGTGAACCATAGAAATGAAGATCACGTGGAAGATTAGCATCAGGGTAGTAGGAGAAGGAGAAGGGGGGAGAAGGTACAGAAAATAAGTAACATAGACAGTAGATAGAAAATAGATGGGGGGAGGGTAAGAATAGTAGGGGAAGTACACAATCTAAAGAACTTGAGACACGTGTTCATGAACTAAAGGGGGGAATGGTGGGGGAGGGGTGTGCAGGGTGGAGGGGAACGGAGGGGGGGAATAGAACAAATGTAATGGCATAATCAATAAAAAATGTTAAAAAAAATAATAATAATACAGCTCACTTAACGCCTATTAGATGACAACTACTGTGGACATAATGATGACATAGTTAAAAGTCACTTTCACCTCCAGAAGCATTTTTTTGGCTCCACACTTACCCATGGCCTTTATTTAATGCCGTGTCAATAATTTGTTGTAGGGGGCTTTTTTCATGAATGTTTTCTGCACATTTCTAAGTTCGTTCTTCGGTATTTCTATTTCAGCTGATATATTTCATTATATTACTAGCTATTGAGTATATATATAGTAGAACTGTTAGATTTAGGAGAAGCTAGAGTACTTTTTTATAAAATGAGGAGATGTAGATTATGATCTTCAAGAACTTTGACATTCTGTGATTCTCTAAATGTTATAGTGAAAAAGTAATTATTAACACAAAATCATTTTGTTTCATTACTCTTGTGGTCTTGGGTATTTTTTACAGTTAAGATATTTGCTCCATCCAGACCATATTCTTTCTGTTTTTTAAGACATAAGATATGGCGTATCGGTTTGCAAGGGCTGCCATGACGAAGTACAAAGTACAGTGGATTCAACAGCAGGCATTTATCCTCTCACAGCTTCAAGGGCTGGAAGTCAAAGTTCACCGTGTCAGTAGGATTGGTTCCTCTAAAGGGCCATGAGGGAGGATCTTTCCAGGGCTCTCTCCTTGGATCATAGATGACCATGCTCTCCTGTGTCTCTTCATATCATCTTCTCTCCCTGTCTGTCCGTCTCTTCAAATTTCTCCCATTATGTGATGCATGCACTGGCTCCCAGTGCCTGCGGTGTCATGGATGAGACATGAGACAAGTTTACACGGACTATCAAGTCCTGTGGAGGAAAAGGGGCGGCATGGCCACTCTCTCAAGGGGGGAGTGCACTGACCCTTGCCTAGACAGGCTTTTATTGGGTTTAATTTGTGCAGGAATACAGGTACATCTCATTAATCATTGTCAGGCAGTAAGATCAAACAGTAGATAGCATACAGAGAACTATTAGGGCTTCTTCTGAGTCAGGGTCTATCATCTAAGAGGCTACAAAACTTTAGGAAACAAACTAATTTCCTGCTTGGGCCTTTATCATTTAACTAAGAGCATGCTTAGCAAAGCAGGCTTCACAGGATTTTACATATCCTTTCTCAGGCCAGATCACCCGGGGAGACTGCCCTTTCCACCACAGGGCTGCATTGCCCTCTGTCATTGTTTCAGGCTTAAGCCAGGCAGAGGAGGCAAGATAGCCAAGGAATTAGGAGAAATGAGGACTCAGGCTTCGTCAAAGCCCAGGGGCAAGGGTTCATCACCCCCTTTCTCCATAGCCCCCCAAGTCCTTCCCTGGGGCCTCCACGTGATCATGCCTGTCTTAGGTCGTTCCCCCCTTGGGGAATCTTACCCATCATTGGCTAACTGATCAAGCATTGGGGGCCAGTTATGGAAAAAAGGAGCAGAAGTGGCACTCCTGCCAGGGAAATAAGCTTTGTCTCCTTAGTGGCTTATGGTCCCAAGGTCGCTCACTCAGCCTTAGCCATGGCGGGGGGTGGGGGAGGGTGGGTTACAGCTCCTAAAAACAGACAGGGCAGTTCCCAACACATATATGGACATCAGTCATATTGTATTAGAGTCCGCCCTAATGATACCATATAAGGACTCACGTCTGCAATGACCTATTTCCAAATAAGGTGACTTTCTGAGGCACTGAGGGTTAGGATTTCAACATAGAAGTTTTCAGGGGACACCAATTAGCCTGTAACACGTATTCCACATTATTCTTTTCCAGTTGACTGTCCAGTTTTTGCAGTACTATTCATTGAATAATCACTTTCTTCCTGGTTATTTGAATGCTGCCCTTATCCCATATTAAATTACTATTTAGATCAGGTAGGCATTTTGTGACTTACCGCTTCTGTTTTCCTGATCTGTTTGGCTCTTCTTGCTAATGAAAGGATTTTTTATTGTTTCTCCCAAATATCATGATACAGAAGTAGGTGTGGGTACAGTATTGCATGCTATAGTAGAAATAAGAATGATCACTTCAGATTGAACAGGAATATACTGTTACAGGAGTTAGTATCATTCAAGGATGTGGCTGTGGATTTCACCCAGGAGGAGTGGCAGCAACTGGACCCTGCTCAGCGGACCCTGTACAGGGACGTGATGCTGGAGAACTACAGCCACCTGGTCTCCATGGGTAAGGATGGCTTCCCTGCGTAACTCAGACTCATACAGTCAAATACCTTTCCCTGTCAGCTGCCGTGGTTCGGTGGTTCCTGACTTCCAAATGACTTCCATGATCTTCATACCTTCGCAAATCGAGGTCATTACTGTGCTGAGGGCCAACTGGACTACTTCGTTACAGACTTAAACGGCACCTTCTCTTCTTCCTTCAGTGCCGTGTAGCCCAGTTCCTCCTTTCCATTTAATAGGGCATCCAGTTTCCAAACCAGATGTCATCTCCAAGTTGGAACAAGGAGAAGATCCATGGATCATAAAGACAGACATATCAAATTGGCTTTTTCCAGGTAAAAATCAGGCAGATGGGAGACAAGGGAATTGAAATATCAATTTGTCTGTTTGTTTTGTTTTATGTAATTGATTTTGCCTGAAGCTTATGTTTCTGTCCTTATTGAAATCTCTTTTTTGCCCTTGTGCTGAGAATTTGGTAGGCATTCAACTAATAATCAATTACATAATTGTGAATCTTTATAGGGGAAGCTATTTCTTGCTGATTTTCACTTTCATATATATGTATGTATGTATGTGTATATATATGTATAAATACCTTTTATGAAAAGGTTAACTAGGCAATAGAAGGCACATAGGTTGTACTTTAGAAGATAAGATTTCCAGGTGCATGGCTGTACAAAATTAAATATCACATATAGTTACTGTTTTTAAAAGTTAAGAGAAAATTAGAATCTAAAGAAATGCAACGGAGTTTGAGAAGGCATTTTTCAGAGCATGCAGCATTAGCTGCTTTGAAAGATGTTTAGTGTTGATGATGCTGAAGTCGGAGGGTGAAGGCACACTCTTGGAATGTGGTGGTGGTGGTGAGTATGTGAGTTAGGGAATGTGACTCTTCTGGGAAAACCTTGCTAGTTTTATTTGATACGTGTAGTTCAAAGTCAGATTTTTGGTGCGAATCTGATACTCAGTCCATAACATCACAATCCATTTTTTTTCTGTTGTTTGTGTTGGTTGTTAATTAGAAATTTAGACTAAGGAGAGTTAAAGTATTTTGAATACCAGAGAGAGAGAGAGAGAGAGAGAGAGAGAGAGTGTGTGTGTGTGTGTGTATCAAACGACTTATAAAATAAATGAATTCAAAAGGTGAAAAGTGTTTTCATTCAGAAAGTGGGGGAATTGGGAAGATTCTAGAATAATGATCCAAGGCCAGAGTGATAATAACACAGATAGTTTTCTGTCTCCTTAAAGTCTAGCTTTTTTGTGAATGTATCTCTCTGACATCCTTGTCTCTCCATTCACCTGATCGCACTGTGTGCTGTGCAGTCTCACAAGATGGCCTGTCCCCGTCCTGTTTCTGAGTTCACCACTTGTGTTGCATCAGTTACTTGTTTCACCCTCTCTGCTCTGTCAGGTACTCTTCCTGATTGTTTCATTTATCTTTCTTTTCTTTAGACAGGAAGCATCACCTTGACCACCCCCAGTCATGTGTTTTGGGGTCTTTTTCCTTCCATAATAAGACACTGAAAGGTGTCACAAAGGATGGTTCTTTGTGCTCCATTTTGAAAGTATGTCCAGGTGATGGCCAATGGCAGAGAGGTCCAGAAAACCAAGACAGACTTTTCAGTCAAGTTACAGTTATCAGTAACAGGACAGTGACTGTGGAGTCAGGCCATAAATATAATGCATTGGGGACAATGTTTGAAGAGTTCATAGAGCCAGATACTTCAAGACAAATACCCTGTAACTATGATGCATTTAAAATGTACTTGAAATCTAATACTGACCTACCTCATTCTGATAAGACTAGTTCAAGAAAAACCCCTGGTGAGAGTTTTGGATGTGGAAAATCATTTAGCCATGATGTGTCCAGTTCTGATATTGAGAAAATTCAAACTGGAGTAATACCCTGTGATGATAATCAGTGTGGAAACCTTTTCATCAATAAACGATCCCTTATTCATTATAAGGATACTGCAACTAAAGAGAAGACCTGTATATGTATTACATGTGGAAAAGGCTTTGCTAAGAAGTTACAGCTTATTGTACATCAACGAATTCATAGTGGAGAGAAACCTTATGATTGTAGTGCATGTGGGAAAGCCTTCAGTGAGAAATTTCACCTCATTGTCCATCAGAGAACTCATACTGGGGAGAAGCCTTATGAATGTTCTGAATGTGGAAAAGCCTTCTCTCAGAAATCATCCCTCATTATACATCGGAGAGTTCACACGGGGGAGAAACCATATGCATGTACCGACTGTGGGAAAGCCTTCTCCCAGAAATCACCCCTCATTATACATCAGAGGATCCACACTGGGGAGAAGCCTTACGAATGCAGAGAGTGCGGGAAGGCCTTCTCCCAGAAGTCACAACTAATCATCCACCACAGGACTCACACTGGAGAGAAGCCATATGAGTGTGCCGAATGCGGGAAAGCCTTCTGTGAGAAGTCCCACCTCATCATACACAACAGGATCCACACTGGAGAGAAACCCTACAAGTGTGCGCAGTGTGTGGAGGCCTTCAGCAGGAAGACAGAACTCATCACACATCAGTTAGTTCACACTGGGGAGAAACCTTACGCATGTCCCGAATGCGGGAAGGCCTTCTCCCGCAAGTCACAGCTCATCATACATCAGAGAACACACACTGGAGAGAAACCCTACAGGTGCAGTGAGTGTGGAAAGGCCTTCTGTCAGAAGTCACATCTCATTGGGCACCAGAGAATTCACACAGGGGAAAAGCCTTATGTGTGCACTGAATGTGGGAAAGCCTTCTCTCAGAAGTCCCACCTGCCAGGACACCAGCGCATTCATACTGGAGAGAAGCCTTACATATGTGCTGAGTGTGGAAAGGCTTTTTCCCAGAAATCAGACCTCGTTTTACATCAGAGAATTCACACCGGGGAAAGACCCTATAGGTGCAATGCGTGTGGGAAAGCCTTCATCCAGAAGTCCCAGCTCACCGTGCACCAGAGAATTCACAACAGTGGCAAAACCATAATGAACTGAGTGCAGAAAAACCTTCAGTATTAGCTCAAGCCTTAATAAATACTAGAATCCTGAGTAATTTGATAAGGTTGTGGAAAGCATATTATATGTAAAATTTTACAAGAGAGTTCATATCTATAGCGTGATGCAAAGATGATGGAAAATTAAATCAACATGGTATGTGAAGCTTTTTAACCTATGATTTGAATGATCAGTAGACCAAATTATGTATACAGAATGTTATCAAGTTACATATTCTTTATCATACTGTGTAATAATAACCAGACATTGTGAAATTGCTAATATTGGTTTATCATAATTTTGGCCATACAGCCCAGCCATACTTTATAAAGGACATGAAGAAAGCTTGAGTAAAAAAAGAAGAATCAGTTCCCAGAAATTGCATTATAAGGAGGGGCTTAGCTTGACCCCTAAAGTTACATGTAAGATTCTTATATAAAGATGGAAAGGTAGGTTAACCGAATTTAATAAAGGTGCTATTTATGTTTTCTTATCTCATACGTGTAAGTTCACCTGTATCTCTGGAAGTTACCTGGACCTTGAAATTGATGCTTCTGGGCCAGGTCTCTCTTTCCCTCTTCCCCACTGGGGATTTGGAATGGGGGGAAGACTTGGGTGCAAAACCAAATGGTCTTGGGTTTAAATCCTGGCTCAACGATTCAGATAGTGTGACCTCAGGCAAGCCTGCCTTACCCACCTGAATATTTTTTTCTTAATGCTAAATAAAAGTACAATGCAGAACACAGTTTTAGTTAATGTTAGTTCTTTCTAGTCTTTACTCTCTACCTGCTGCAACAGGATGCTAAGACTAATGTTTACAAGACACATCTGAACTTGCTTTGTATTCCAGACACCCTCGTTTTGATACCTCGTTCCTATGACTGGTTCATTTTACTGTCTTTGGTCTGGTGGCCTTTGTTACCTGTATGGTAAAGTGACATTTTATTGTACTTACAGCAGTGTTTTACCTACACTTATTTATATAAACTGTGGTGATCCCAAATAGAGACCCTTGTCTGATATCTCTTCAGTTCCTTTCTGACCCCTGCCCTGCAGCCTCAGCTGTTTTCCCTGAGAACCAAGGGCACTTACAGAGGAAAACTCTTGGGGTGAGTAATCATGGCTGCCATAGATTTGGGACTATTGCATCTCTAAAATATTTCCCTCCCTCCTTCCTGTGCTTTTACCTGTTTATCCATGAGCAGCTGCAGATGAGGACCGACACTGGAGGTGGCCGTCCGAGGAGATACCTGGCAAGGATGAGGGTGTCACTGTGGATGGACATAGTTTACCCATGCTCACCTAGTTCCCATTGAATCCTTCACACTTCCTGCTCCCCTGATCCCCTTCTTGCATGGCTGGACTGCCGGTTGTGGAAAGACAGGGCCCCTCTAGGGCGAATCTCTGCAGGGGAGAGGGCACACCTCACGAGGACATGGGGGCCTGTGTGGCCCAGTCCTGGTCTCACTGTGAACAGTGAGCTGAGGACACTGCCATGAGGGATCGTTGACCATGCAGACCTGGGGAAGAAGGCCTGGGGGAACATTTCATGGGCAGAGCCACTCACAGGGTTCCTCATGGAGGATGCCTGAGCTGGCTCCTCTGAGGGCCTGAGAAGGACAAGGGATCCTGTTGGGAACACGGAGTTAATGAAGAGGGACTGAGGCAGAATAGCAAACTCACAGCTCCTGCCTCACAGGCCTCGGGTTTGGTCTTTTCACCGTCAGCCCCCAGGCAAACCTCGTTTATCTGGTAATGGGTGTCTACAAAAATCCCACTTCAGAATTAGCATCTGCAAGATTAACGCTTCACTTTCCTTCAGCATTTTGCTAGAGGAGCTGCCCAGTGCAGGGGGCAGGAAAAAGAAACAATAGACCCAAGGATTGGAAAGGAAAAAGGAAAATGAATGTTATTTGCAGATGATACAGTTGTGTATAAAGAAAATAAACACACTGGTTAAATACTAGAACTAAAGGAGATTAGTTACTTCATGCAATTTGATTTTAATTTTTTAAAAAGATTTTATTCATCTATCTTTAGAGGGGAAGGGAAGGAGAGAGGGAGACAAATATCAATAAATAAATTTTAAAAATTGGTTGCCTCTTGTGTGTCCTCAGCTGGGAACTGGCCTGCAACCCAGGCATGTGCCCTGGCTGGGAATCGAACCGCAATCCCTTAGTTCTCAGGCCCACGCTCAATCCAGAGTTACACCAGCCAGGGCACTTTATGCAATTTTAATATTAAATTAATTAATTCAATAAACCAACAACAGTGAATATGTAAAGATACCATTACATTAGCATAAAAATATAAAACACCGAAAATTAATAGCAAAGTATAAGACCTCTACATAGAAATAACCTAAGCAGTCTGAGGTCCTGGAGACGACCTTGGAACAGAAAAGGGGCTTTTAAAAAACAGTGGAACTGCCCTGGCTGGTATACCTCAGTGGATTGAGCGTAGGCCTGTGAACCAAACAACCGCAGTTTAATGGTACTTGCTGATCTGCCTTGCCCAACCCACAATAAAGCATTTGTGGCTCTTCTGAGCTGATGAGGATAAAAAGAAGTATGACAGTTCACCAGAGAACATCCTCATCTACCTTTGTTTTATACACTTTTATTCATATAGCTGCAGAATGCATTCCCAGAAGTGAGCCTGCTGGCAAAGGAGTATGCCTGTTTGACATTGGAGTAGCTGCTAACGAATTGTTCATGTGTGCACAAGTGTGTTGAACTGTCTCTGACACACAGAATCAGTGAGTGTCTGTCATAGGGAGACAGGTCATGGTTAAAAACAGTGCTCTTTTTTGTACTGGCTGGTGTGGCTCAGTAGATTGGTACCAGCCTGTGAACCAAAGGGTTGCCAGTTCAATTCCCAGTCAGGACACATGCCTGAGTTGCAGGCCAGGTCTCCACTTGGGGGCATGCGAGAAGCAACCACACACTGATGTTTCTTTCCTTCTCTTTCTCCCTCCCTTTCCCTAAAAAGAAATAAAATCTTTTTTAAAAAACAGTGCTTTCTCATAGTTAAAAGTGACCAGATAAGACTGCCTGGGTTGGAGTAGCAAGTTTTCAAAAATAGGTTTAGCAGTCAGGATTCTGCAGAGGGCATGACAACATTGGACCTGAGATTAGAGAAGCCGACATCTAAGGACTCTCTGAAATTCAGCTTTGGGAAAACCTCCAATGTGGCTCATTTGGCTCCAGGCCCTTCCAAATATGACGTGTTTTCCACATGAGTCTCAGCACCAAAGACTTTGCAGAACCAGCCTGTGGCTCCTCTGCCCAAGTGGCCTGGCCCCATCTTCCAGAGTTTCTGCTGAGTCTTAACCTCTGGGCTCTGCTTGCCTTTCACCTCAAAGGCAGGTAGGTTGTACAATGTGCCCTCAGTGAAATGGCCTGAACGCTGATGTCACGCTCCATGGGCCATCCCAGGAGGTGAGTGAGGTCTTTACAATAAACTGAAGGGTGTTCCCTTGCATCCTAAGGGAGGCACGGCTGCAGGTGAGCGGAGCAGCCAGTGGCAAAGCTCGACAGCGGCTGCAGGGGCCGGCTGCAGGTGCCCGGCTCTGGCTCTGAGGTTCTGTGGGGAATCTGGGCGGGCGGTAGAGCTGGGCAACCCTTGGCACTGAAGTGGGTAAGACCAGGAGACGGGCGAGGTCACCAGAGATAGGGGGAAGAAGCGGGACTCGGGGAGAAAACAGAGAGGGAACAGTGAAGGAAATAAGGAAACCAGGAGAGCGTGGTGCCAAGGAATTTCTCGTAGGAAGAAGTGATCAGCCACATCAAACACAGCAAGAAAGTTCTGATGATGCAAGAGCTAAAAAGATGGCTCAGTGGGAGCAATGCCACCATCACTGTGTCCCTAGGCCGACATCACACAGCAGCGGCCGGAGGTCAGCCTCACTGGTTTAAGCGGCTCACCCTCAAGCCTGCTCTCGGGTACTCAGACCTAGAAATTCCCCTGTCTCCCATTTCCCCTTCAAAGTTTAAACCATTTTTTATGGAGCCCCAGCTAACTCTGAAATTACAGAAACATCGTTGATACCTTTCCATATTTTTCACTCAGCCACCTTTCTATTTGCTACGGTCACCTCAGCATCAGCACAGGCCAGTGAACCGGAATCTCACCGTGGGGTCTACTCCCAGGGTTCAGGACAAATTTTTTCCTCCCACGTCTAGGTAAGGCCAGTGCCCTTCTCGGCATCGGGAGGTAATGTGAAACTTCTTACATCTATGAGTTTGTACCATTCATCAAGTTTGGGAAATTTGTCCTGGCTGGTGTGTCTCAGTGGATTGAGTGCTGGTCTGCGAACCAAAAGGTTGCAGGTTCAATTCCTAGTCAGGGCACATGCCTGGGTTGTGAGTTGGGGGCATAGAGGAGGCAGCCACACACTGATGTTTCTCTCTCTCTCTTCCTCCCTTCCTGTCTCTCTAAAAATAAGTAAATAACATCTTTAGAAAAAAGTTTGGGAAATTTTCAGCCAAGATTTGTTCAAAAAAACGTTGGCACTATCTCAATACAATGCATAACAGTTAATCTACAAGCAAAACCAAAGATGGACGGGTAATGCTCATGCATACAAAATGCTTAATTTGCACAAGAGAAAGTAAGGAGGGAAGAGAAATCTCATCCCCCTACCACCAGCCCACCCAGACGCCTTTGTGGTGAAGCTGAGGCTGATGGTTATTACTATTTATTATTTTTTCCCATGGGAGGAGGAGCCGTGTCCCTGCCTCCTGGGCTTCTCTGGCCTTCTTCTTCTTCTCCACCTCCGACGGTTCCAGGCCAGGCAAAGCACCAGCGGAAGGGTGATGTTAGGGTTGCCCTGTCCTCTCCAGGGGCAGGGTGACGGCAATGCCTTTTATTGGGAGTTCTGTCATTTTCCTTTCTCTCCCACTGGTCTGGGAGACCTGGCTTCCATCCCATTCAGACACTGCGCTTTCAGTCTGCCGGCTATGATGCTGGTCTCGCTGATGCAGCTTGACCATTCCAAGGCTCGCTGGTGGTCTCTGCCCCTCCATGTGCCACACATGAGCTCCCCTTTTGGGGGAGACTTGCAGCCCCCACGTGATTTCTGGCAAGTGGAATTGTCCTCTGGGGATGAGGAGATGCTCA